AAGATCAATGAAACCAAGAGCTTATTCTTTGAAAAGATAAACAAGATTGATGAACCTTTAGCCAGACTCATCAAGAAACAAAGAGGGGGATCCAAATAAACAAAATCAGGAACCAAAGAGGTGAAATAACAACTGACCCAACAGAAATACAAAGGGTTGTAAGAAAATACTATGAACAACTATATGCCACCAATCTGGAAAACCTGGATGAAATCGACAAATTCCTAGAAAAATACAAGTTTCCGAAACTCAATCAGGAAGAGTCAGGAAACTTAAATAAGTCTAATAACTGCTGATAAAATTGAAGCAGTAATCAAAGGGCTCCCAACACACAAAAGCCCTGGCCCGGATGGCTTCACAGGGGAGTTTTACCAAACAGTCAAAGAATAATTAACACCTACCCTCCTCAAACTATTTCAAAAAATCCAAAAGGAAGGAACACTTCCAAACTCTTTTTGGAATTAGGATTAACCTAATTCCAAAACCAGATAAAGGCACTACAAAGAAAGAGAATTACAGGCCAATATCCCTGATGAAAGTAGATGAGGAAATCCTCAACAAAATATTAGCAAATCAGATCCAGCAATATATTAAAAAGATCATACACCATGACCAAGTGGGATTTATTCCAGGAATGCAAGGCTGGTACAATATTCACAAGTCAATAAACATGATACATCACATAAACAAACTGAAAGACAAAAATCACATGATCATATCCTTAGATGCAGAAAAAACATTCAATAAAATCCAACAGCCATTTATGATAAAAACTCTCAGCAAAGTGGGAATAGAGGGAACATACCACAACATAATAAAGGCCATATATGACAAAACTACAATCAACATCATACTCAGTGGGCAAAAACTAAAACCATTTCCCCTAAGAACAGGAGAAAGGCAGGCTGTCCACTTTCACCACTCTTATTCAACATAGTACTGGAAGTTCTAGCCACAGTGATCAGACAAGAAGAAAACATAAAAGGCACCCAAATTGGACAGGAGGAAGTAAAACTGTCATTATTTGCAGATGACATGATATTATTCATAGAAAATCCTAAAGACTCCACCAAAGAACTACTAGATTTAATAAATGAATTCAGCATTGTAGCAGGATAGAAAATTAACACCCAGGAATTGATGGCATTTTTATACAAAACAAATCCCATTTACCATTGCAACTAAAAAAAAAAAAAGATACCTAGGAAGAAACGTAACCAGAGTTGTAAAAGACCTGTACTCGGAAAACTACAGGACACTGAAAAAAAGAAATAGAGGAAGATATAAACAAATAAGAAAATATACCATATTCATGGATTGGAAGAATTAACATTAAAATGTCCATACTACCTAAAGCAACCTATAAATTCAATGCAATCCCTATTAAAATGCGAACAGCATGTTTCACAGATCTAGAACAAACACTTTGAAAATTTATATGGAACCAAAAAAGACCCTGAATAGTAACGGCAATCTTGAGAAAGAAGAAAAAGGTGGAGGGATCACAATACCAGATATCAAGTTATATTACAAAGGCACTGTAATCAAAACAGCCTGGTACTGGGACAAGAACTGAGATATAGAACAGTGGGACAGAACAGAGAGCCCAGAAGTTAACCCATGCCATTATGATCAATTAATGTTTGACAAAGGAGGCAGTCTATTCAATAAATGGTGTTGGGAAAATGGGACAGGTACATACAAAAAAATTAAATTAGACCACTAATTTCACCATACACAAAAGTAAACTCAAAATGGATGAAAGACTTAAATGTAAGACATAAAACCACAAAAATTCTAGAAGAAAACATAGACAGCAAAATCTCAGACTTCTCTCATAGCAATATATTTGCCGATACATCTCCTAGGGCAAGAGAAGCAAAGGAGAAAGTAAATAAATGGAACTATATCAAAATAAAAAGTTTCTGCACAGCAAAAGAAACCAACAAAACGAAATAGGAGCCCACTATATGGGAGAACATATTTGCCAATGACACATCTGATAAAGGGTTAATATCCAAAATATATAAGAAACTCATACAATTTAACAAAAGGAAGACAAACAATCCAACTAAAAAATGGGCAAAGGACCTAGATAGACACTTCTGCAAAGAGGACATGCAGATGGCCAAGAGACATATGGCAAAATGCTCAAAGTCACTAATCATCGGAGAGATGCAAATTAAAACCACAATGAGGTGTCACATTACACCAGTCAGAATGGCTACCATCAACAAATCAATGAGTTATAAGTGCTAGCAAGGGTGTGGAGAAAAGTGAACCCTAGTATTGCTGGTGAGAATGCAGACTGGTGCAGCCACTATGGAAAGAAGTATGGAGTTTCCTCAAAAAATTAAAAATTGACCTGGCATTTGACCCAGTGATCCCACTTCTAGTGATTCCACTTCTAGGAATATATCTTAACAACCCTGAAACACCAATCACAAAGAACATATGCACCTCTATGTTCATAGCCGCAGAATTTACGATAGCTAAGATCTGGAAACAGCCCAAGTGCCCATCAGTAGATGAGTGGATAAAAAAGCTGTGGGACATTTACACACATGGAATACTACGCAGCTGTAAAAAAGGTTCTTTTGTCCTTTGGGACAGCATGGAGAGAACTGGAGATTATTATGCTAAGTGAAATAAGCCAGTCATAGAAAGACAAGTATGACATGATCTCACTTATATGTGGAATGTAATTAACAAAATAAACTGATGAACAAAACAGATCCAGAGACATAGATACATGGAACAGACTGAGGGATCTCAGGGGGAAGGTGAGGAGGGGGACTGGGTGGGGAGAGGTTACTCAAAGAATTTATGTTTATAAGCATAACCCATGGATACAGACATGGGTCTGAGGTGGGGCAGATGTGGGGTGGATGGGATCAATGGGGGTAGAAAGGGGACATCTGTAATATTTTCAACAATAAAGATTAAAAAAATAGGAAAGCTCAAAAAAAAATAAAAAAGAAAGAAATATGATGGGCAGCAATTTAGTGCATGAACCCTAGGAACTGCTCCTGCAAACTGGGCAGCAACAGAGAAAAGGCCAAGATTGTACAGTGAAGAAAGTATATTTGAATAAAGGCATAGTAACTAATGAGAAGCAAATCTTCCTACACCTTGACCGTTGATGGATTATTAGTTCATTAAAAAACAGGTAAAAGACACAATGAATTCTAAGTGAAATTCTGTGAATTAAAAGAATGGAGCATTTATTTGAATATCAAAAAGTATTTGTTGATTTCTTCCCCCTTCGTTCACCTGCATCACACTGTTCCTTTGGGTAATACACATTACATAAGATTCAAGCAAGCTACGCTTCCAAAAATGAATTGATGGGAAAGTCTTCCTCCTCACCTATGAGCAAATGTTGAGTATGAGGAGCATGGTGCAAAGGCCAAGTAGGTTAGGAAAGGATGTTGCTTGCTAGGAAAAGGACACTTTCCCCTTATAGGGATCTGTGTGCTAGAGAACAAAACAGGAAATAAAAATAATGGTACACTAAGCCATCCTTCACTACCCTGCAAAGATACTGATTATGAGCTTGTTGGTAAACCAAATTCTTGACTTTTTTTTAAAAAAATATATCTTTATTGATTTCAGAGAGAGGAAAGGAGAGGGAGATAGAAACATCAATGATGAGTCATTGACCAATTCTGCAACCAGGCACGTGCCCTGACCCAGAATCCAACCCCGATCGCCTGGATCCTAGGTTGACGCTCAACAGCTGAGCCACGCCCGGCCGGGCACCAAATTCTTGACTTTTTTCTGATATTGAATTTCATTCATATTCAAAGAAACTTTCACCCAGGCAGGAGAAATGTATGACTTGCAATCTTGCAGGTGTGAATAAGTTTTCAAAATGTTTGGCATTTAGAATTTAAATACTACCTAAAATCTAGGATTCCATTTTCTGTGACCCAATTAAGTGTACATATTTAAATATGTTTCCAATAGCAAATTAAAGTTTTTGGCACATGCTTAGAAAAGGTTGCAATTTGAGAGTGTATGATTTTCACTGAATTCATCTCAGCATTTCAATTAATGCCTGTCTTTCTTTGCAAGGATTCAGAAATCTGCTCATGAACTTGAAATATTGTGTATATTGTAAAACATCTCATAGGAAACCAGTGTGAATGTGGTTGCATTTACTCCCCTCAATCTTCTTAGCTCCCATATGGGCTAAGAGATTACTTGACTCCAAGTAATCTCTTCATCAAATGGGTTCTCATTAGTAGTTGATGGACCAAAGGAATTTAATTAACGAGGTATTTATTGCAGCAGAAAGACACAAGGCCAACACAGACATAAGTCATGATATATACCCATAAGCCCTTAGAAACATGGCAATTGTTAATATTACAATTCAGTGCCTCTACTGACAGGGTCACCTGTTGTGTGATGGGAAGCAGGAGAGAATCGTGGACTAGGAAGTGGACATTGGCTGCATCCTTCATGTACTAGCCCAATGGCTGTAGGTCAGGCAGCACAAGCAATCCTGGAGAACTTCTTTCCCACAGTCAGGATTTTCAGCTGCCATGTTGCAACATGGTGCAAGTATGCAAAGTACCGAGAGTTAAAATCATTGCATTCTATTTATTTCAACAGATTCATAAATTAGCAATGATTCATAACATTTCCACATATATACTGAACAATTCAGAAAGAGTTTCCATGGTACTTTTCAGAATCTTCTTCAGAAATCCCTTCCAGTAGGTAACATGTAGGGGAATGAAGCAGTAGGGAAACATTCTCTCTTGTTTTAAAATTCCGTTAAGTCTGAAATCTTGACCTAACATACATAACCGGAGAAGAATCCACTGAGTAAAAAAGCAAAAGACAAAACAAACAACAACAGAAAAATACAATATCTCTGATGACCTTAGAAAGGCCACTGGTGATAAAATCTAAACATAACTTTTGATTCTCACTAATATGTTTTCTATTCTGAAGCTTATATATTTTATAAATCACTGCTGAGATTTTTACTATAGATTTTCACTTAGCCAACTCAGATATTCATTTTCTAATCTATATTTACTTTTAAATCCGTAGAAGAAAAGTAATCCATGGAATCCATCCTCAATGTGTTTATGGGTCACCCTTACTCCAGCATTCTGAAGTCTGGTGACGTACATGATTCCATCATCTCTTACCAAGTCATGTTCACAGGTGATGACACAGGTCACGGGTAAACCACACAACTTGTTGTCATCTGCCAACAAAGGGGCTGCTCTCACATCTAGAAACCCTGGATACTTTTTAGCTAGCTCAGAAGTACCATAAGTTGGACTATTATAAAAGTGCCCTTTCTTAAAATTCTCTGGGAGCAAAGAGCTCCAATTAACAAATTTGAAGAGATGGGCTGATTCCACTGGTACATGTTGATTGAAGAACATGGCTTTTTCAAATGCTCTGTCCATGGTAAAGTACTCACTCAAAAACCTGAGCAGTAATGATTTGGGCAGAGGTGGAAAATGCACGTTTTCCCGATAGGATGGTGTTTCCAAATCAAGAGTCTGAAGGACAGGATAAATTAAAGACTGGATCTTGAGTCTGATCTTGATATCTGGGTCATCTATGAGCTGAAAATTATTTAAAGTAAGTTGTTGAAATAATAATTTCCACATATATATTTTTTCATTTATGGAGCTGATATACATTGAAAATTTCAAAACGATAATCAAAAACAGTAAGAAATATTATCTCAAAGATCTTTCCAATTTTCAATATTATACTTAAGACTTAGTGTCTACACTTAAATACTATAAATGTAAACAAAATGATTTGTACTACTCTCCTCATGAGGAGGGGAAAACACCAACTAATCTGTGCTTAGCTGGTCATAAAGATTATATTTCTCTGAAAAAAACTGGAGAGTGTACATTTTTGCCCTATTCTTTGGCATATTTTGTGTTTAATTGGATTTATTTTTTCTTAAATGCCTGATGCAAATTGCCAATGAAGCTTTATACTGGGAATATTTTTTTATTATTTATTTAATTTATTTTATGATTATAAAATTATTTTCATTTCTTATTGTATCTGTTTTGAAAGTTATATTTTTCTTGTTTATTGTTAACTTATTTGAAAGATTATTGTTTTAATTTCAAAGTTATTCAAAATATTACTTTCAAGAATTACAATGTGCATTCTTAAATCATCAAAGATTCTTTTTTGTGTCAAAGGGTCTGAAGAGCTGTTCCTTTCTCAGTCCTGACATTTGTACCTAACTTTTGTTTTCCTCCTTTGCCTTTTCAGACAGTTAAAATTTTAATAGCCTTTTCAAAGAATTAACTTTATGCTTTTCGTTCATATCTACTCTAAACTTGTTTTGAATATCAAAACTTCTTATCATTGTTGCCTTCACTCTATTTTTTTTTCTTGAGTTAGATGCTTATTTCAGCTGTCTTTCATTTCTAATATATGCATTTGAGAAAATACAGCTTCCTATAAGTGTGGATCTAAATGCAGAGAACGAGTAAAATATATATATTCTTTTAAATAGTGACCCAGAGGATCCAAGATGGCAGTGGACTGAGCGGAAGCTACACTGACACTCTCCCGGGACCAATCTGGATTTATAACTAAAATATAGAAAAACCATCCTGAAAACCAACTGAAGACGAGCTAGAGAGCAGCCTCATCACCAAGAAGGAAAAGTGGAGCCCACACAGAGACTAGTAGGAAGTGAGGGTGTGAGGGGGCTGGCTGGGCTCCCACAGGCAGCAGCTGAAGGTCCGGAGGGAGATCTCAGCTGTCTGGGGTCCCACTGAGGACTCTGGGGCCTAAACTCCAGGCTGAGCTTCCCAGCCCAGAGCATCAGAACTGAGAAAGGTACCCTCAGCATCTGGCTGTGAAAAGCAGTTGGAGTTCTGTCTTCCAGGGAGACACAGCTGGAAATGCAGGCACCCTCTTAAAGAGCCAACACATACAGTTTCATGTGCAGCCACTCACCTTGGGCCCCAGCAGAGGGAGGGTAGAGTGGACTGGAGCTGTGTGGGGAGAATCTGGGGTTGTGGACTCTGGAGAGTGAGATCAGGGGATGCCTGTGCTGGATCATTATTCCAGATCATGGAGGACATCTTTCCCAGGCAGACAATTTTTAGCAAAGTGGGAATAGAGGGATCATACCTCAACATAATAAAGGCCATATATGACAAACCTACAGCCAACATCATACTCAATGGGCAAAAACTAAAACCATTTCCCCTTAGAACAGGAAAAAGACAGGCTGTCCACTTTCACCACTATTATTCAACATAGTACTGGAAGTCCTAGCCACAGTGATCAGACAAGAAGAAAACATAGCTGGAAAGGAGGAAACAAAACTGTCATTATTTGTAGATGACATGATATTGAACATAGAAAATCCTAAAGACTCCACCAAAAAACTACTAGATTTAAAAAATGAATTCAGCAAGGTAGCAGGATACAAAATTAATACCCAGAAATTGATGGCATTTTGTACACCAATAATGAACTCTCAGAAAGAGAAACTGAAAAAAAATCCCATTTACCATTGCAACTAAAAAAATAAGATACCTAGGAAGAAACTTAACCAAAGATGTAAAAGACCTATACTTGGAAAACTTCAGGACACTGAAAAAAAGAAATAGAGGAAGATATAAACGAATGTAAAATATACCATGTTCATGGATTGGAAGAATTAACATCAAAGCAACCTATAAATTCAATGCACTCCCTATTAAAATGTGAACAGTATATTTCACAGATCTAGAACAAACACTTTGAAAATTTATATGGAACCAAAAAAGACCCTGAATAGCAACGGCAATCTTGAGAAAGAAGAAAAAGGAGGAGGGATCACAATACCAGATATCAAGTTATATTACAAAGCCACTGTAATCTAAACAACCTGGTACTGGGAAAAGAACAGACATATAGGCCAGTGGAACAGAACAGAGAACCCAGAAATTAACCCATGCCATTATGATCAATTAATGTTTGACAAAGGAGGCAAGAACATACAATGAAATAAAGACAGTCTCTTCAATAAATGGTATTGGGAAAACAGGACAGGGACATGCAAAAAAATGAAACTAGACCATCAACTTCACCGTACACAAAAATAAATTCAAAATGGATGAAAGACTTAAATGTAAGACATGAAACCATAAAAATCCTAGAGGAAAACATAGGCAGCAAAACCTCAGACATCCCTCATAGCAATATGTTTGCTGATACATCTCCTAGGGCAAGAGAAACGAAGGAGAAAATAAACAAATGGGACTACACCAAAATAAAAAGTTTCTGCACAGCAAAAGAAACCATCAACAAGACGAAAAAGGAGTCCACTGTATGAGAGAACATATTTGCCAATGACACATCTGATAAAGGGTTAATATCCAAAATATATAAGAAACTCGTACAACTTAACAAAAGGAAGACAAACAATCCAACTAAAAAATGGGCAAAGGATCTAAATAGACACTTCTCCAAAGAGGACATATAGATGACTAAGAGACATATGAAAAAATGCTCAACATTGCTAATCATCAGAGAGATGTAAATTAAAACCACAATGAGATATCACTTCACACCTGTCAGAATGGCTACGATCAACAAATCAAGGAACTACAAGTGTTGGCCAGGGTGTGGAGAAAAGGGCACCCTAGTACATTGCTGGTGGGGATGCAGACTGGTGCAGCCACTATAGAAAGCAGTATGGAGTTTCCTCAATAGATTAAAAATTGACCTGGCATTTGACCCAGTGATCCCACTTCTAGGAATATATTCTAATAAAGCCAATACACCAGTTAGAAAGAACTTATGCACCCCTATGTTCATAGCCACACAATTTATGAAAGCCAAGATCTGGAAACAGCCCAAGTGCCCATTAGTAGATGAGTGGATAAAAAAGCTGTGGGAAATTTACACCACAGAATACTATGCAGCTATAAAAAAGAAGGATCTTTTTTCCTTTGAGACATCATGGAGAGAACTGGAGAGTATTATGCTAAGTGAAATAAGCCAGTCAGAGAAAGACAAGCATGACATGATCTCACTTATATGTGGAATGTAATAAACAAAATAAACTGATGAACAAAATGGATCCAGAGACACAGAAGCATGGAACAGACAGAGGGATCTCAGAGGGAAGGTGGGGAGGGGGACTGGGTGGGTAGAAATTACTCAAAGAACTTATTTGTTTATAATCATAACCCATGGACACAGACATTGGTCTGGGGAAGGCCTGGGGGTGGGGCAGATGTGGGGTGGAGGGGATCAGTGGAGGTAAAAAGGGGGCATTTGTAATGTTTTGAACAATAAAGGCAGAAACTTAAAAAATAAACAGATAAATAGTGAACCAAGTGTTTTTAGAGCATTTTTTTTATTTTCTAATTTTCCAAAGAAAAATATGTTATTTTTCTTTTCCTTATTGATTTTCCACATCCTTGCATTGTAGTAAGAGTCCAAATGTTGTACAATTTAGATCCTATGATTTTTTTGAGATTTGCTTTATGGCCCAGTATTTGGTCGGGGTTTTAAAATGATCATGTGCATTTCTTTATTTCCTGTTCCACTGAGTGAAATATACTGATTGTGATTTCATTCCTCTATACACTTATTATTTTTGCTAACTTGTTCTCTTAATTACTAAAAGAAGTATTTTTAAACCTCTTGCTGTGGTCATACACTCATTTTCTCCTGCAGTTCTGTTAATATTTTCTTCATATATTTAATGCCATGTTATTAAATCCATACAGATTTAGAGTTTTTGTATTTTGTTGGTCATTAAAATCTTTTCTGTAATGAGGTGGTCTTTTTTATTTTTTAGTTGCAAGACTGATGAGTTTTATTTTATTGTTTTTAAATTTATCTTTATTGTTGAAAGTATTACAGATACCCCCCTTTTCCCCCATTGACCCCCTCCACCCT